GGGGGGGGGGGGTTCTGTAATAACAACACTTCAGTTTTGGGTGTCGTCTCTTCACTCTGTCTTGCTTTTATTTTGGTAGTTTCTCTGTGGCTTCTCCATAATAAACCTCCACCTCCTTTAAGATTTCCAAACCTCATCACAGTCCCAGTCTGTCCACATCATCACACCATCACGTCTCTACCTTCACTGCGTCAGGGTCTGTGGACTCAACTCTTTAACTTGTTGTAGGACCGATGGTCTTCATTCACCAGGTTAGCTTCAGGTCTGTGAACATGTGACCACTGGGGAATAGTTTTCTGATGCGGATCAAATGAGAAACTTGTGTTTAGTTCAGTTGGACTCACAGAGCGAGACGACAGGAAAACAAAATCATCGTTACCTCGATGATAACAAGGAACCAACAAACTCTTTGATTGGAGGGTGTTAACTGTGTTTATCAAGCGTCGACACATTTGAACTCACGCAGTGAAGCTGCGGAGACGAATCAACACGAGGGAGTTTTAAATATCACAGGTACTTTAAGTTACTCAAACACATGAAACTGCAGAAAGTTTGATCTTTTGACTCAACTCTTCTAAAACAGTTCCTGTTTCAAACAGTTTCAGTTTCTCAATGAAACAGTTTTTTTAATCTTCTCACTGCATGTTTCTCTTCTCTCTTTTTTTTTTCCCAGAATGCAGCAGACATGCCAGAAACCATCACCAGTCGTGATGCGGCGAGGTTTCCCATCATCGCCAGCTGCACCTTGTTTGGGCTCTACCTCTTTTTCAAGGTAACGTGGGGTTTCCTCCGCGCTCCTGCAGGGGCCTTATGTCTGGTTTGAATAACTTTATTTATCACGTTCGCTCTTTAATGTTGACGTTTCTCGACTCAGGTGTTTTCTCAAGAGTACATCAACCTGCTGCTGTCCGTCTACTTCTTCGTGCTGGGCGTCCTGGCTCTGTCTCACACTATGAGGTTAAGCGACACACACACACTTTCACACGTGTGCGTTGTGAAACATTAGAATAGTTTTTGAAAAATGAGCCCCGTAGCTTTTGTTACTGAAGATTTCAACTTCCTGTGTGTTTGTGTCTCTCAGTCCGCTGATGTCCAGAATCTTTCCAACATCGTTCCCAAACAAACAGTTTCAGCTGCTCTTCACTCAGGGAACCGGAGAGTCCAAAGAAGGTGAGACCACGGGTTTCCTCACGTGACGTGTTTTCTAAAGATAAATATAATGTTAAATTAATAAATACAGAATAACTGAATTCATTCTCCAGTTTTTCAAAATATATTCATATTTTAATCCGACTCACGTTTCTCTCTTTCTGCAGAAATTGTTAACTATGAGTTTGACACCAAGAACCTGGTGTGTCTGCTCATCAGCAGCGTGGTCGGAGTCTGGTACGTGCTCAAGAAGGTAACGTCTCAGAGGTCGAAGGTTAAATCACAGAGGGTAAAATGGTCTCGATTAGAATCAGACTGATACTAATATTAATTCATTCATTAATCTTTTAATGACAAAGAATCCTCAGATGTTATCTTTTCAGCTTTGTTTATTCTGTACGGTAAAAGTTTCCACATCGGATGATACTGAAAGTGTTAATCGGTCGGGCTCTAATCTGGACTCCATGATGTCATAGCAGTAGAGTGTGACATCACAGCACTCAGTGTCCAATAACCTCTGTGTTTTGTGACATCGCAGCACTGGATAGCCAATAACCTTTTCGGCCTGGCCTTCGCCCTGAACGGCGTGGAGCTGCTCCACCTGAACAACGTCAGCACCGGCTGCATCCTGCTGTGGGGGCTGTTTGTCTACGATGTGTTCTGGGTGAGTTGATCTGTAATAACTGATCTCAGTAAACCGCGTCCACGGTCACTGAAAATAAAGTTTTATCTGAGTGAGTCTCAAAGATACTTCTCTCCAGGTGTTTGGGACCAACGTCATGGTAACGGTTGCCAAGTCCTTTGAAGCACCGATCAAACGTGAGTGTGTGACACTGAGGTTTTTTAAATCTCCTCTTGTTCCGATGACGCGTTGACGAACAAAACGATTTCCCTCCAGTGGTGTTTCCTCAGGATCTGCTGGAGAAAGGTCTGGGTGCCAGTAACTTCGCCATGTTGGGTTTGGGTGACATCGTCATCCCTGGTATCTTCATCGCTCTGCTGCTGCGCTTCGACGTCAGGTAACACCCCGCCCCTTTTCTTCTCTTCGACGTTAACGTAACAGAGCGTCTGGGTCCGTGTTTCCTTCGCTGTATAGATTAATAAAGTTTTATTCAAACCGCAGCCTGAAGAAGAACAGCAGGACGTATTTCTACTCCAGCTTCCTGGCCTACATCTTTGGACTGGGCCTCACCATCTTTGTCATGCACACGTTTAAACACGCACAGGTATGATCTCTGCAGCCAATCAGAATCCACGACACCTCCCTCCATAAACACTCGTCTCACACGTCTTCCACCTGCTCACCTGTGTGTCCGCAGCCCGCTCTGCTCTACCTGGTTCCTGCCTGCGTCGGCTTTCCCGTCGTCGTGGCTCTGTTCAAAGGAGAGCTCACGGAGATGTTCAGGTGAGTAACCATGGCGACTGTCATGTGACGGTGTGGAGTGTTATGTCCCGCTAATGTAAATAATAATACAACTAAATTTAAGAACTCAAGATTCTTTTTCCCTGAGTGAAGTGAATGTTTCGTGATGCATCCAAGGACCGTAGGAAAGTTTAAAATCTGATAAAATCAATTCATATTGATGATTTTCTTTTTTTAAGAAAATGCACTTTTTTTTATTCTTCCGATAATTTTCAGAAACAAAAAAACAACAAAATGAGGCTGAATCGTTGGCTCAGATTCCTGAAACATCAGGAAACACGTTCTTCAATATGCAAAAAGATGCGTCAGTTTGAAATGATGTCACTGCGTCCTTTGTGTGGTTGTTGAGTCACGAGGGCACGAAGAGTTATGAGTTTCTTACGGCATCAAACGTGGCGTCAAACGGCGATGGTCCAACAAAAGAAACCACGATGTCTGATGGAACTCCTCAGGTTCAGAAGACGTTTACGAACATGGATGACTTGAACGCAGCGTTTGAACAGACGGCAGCGTCCGTTTACGTTAACGTTCAGGAAACACAAAGAAAAGGAGGAGATGGACCTCCACCGGTTAATTATCATATTCTGTGACGTCCTTCACCTCCATCACTTGCACCTCCTCTTCTCCTTCTCTTCCCCTCCTCTTCTTTATCTTGCTCCTTCACCTCCTTCTCTCCCCCTCTTCCTCCGTCCTTTGTTTCTCACACTCTTCATCAGCGGAACTGTCGTAGTTTTTAACTTAGATATAAACTTAAAGATAAATCTTGACACATATTCTTTCTCTCTTGTCTTTCCCTCTCCTCCTTCTTCGCCCTTCTTTTCTTTTTTTAAATTTCCCTCCTCACCCGTTCATTCTGTCCCCCCCTCGTCTCCTCCTCGTGGTTAGCTATGAGTCGTCAGAGGACGTTCTCCCCGGCTCTCCCAGACTCACTTCCTTCCCAACTGTCAGCGGCTCGCCTGCCAGCCTGGCTAGCTCCATGGATGCCATCTCTATGGCGACAGGCTCCTCCCCTCGCCACCGCCGGTCACAGCCCAACTCCATGTAGAAGCCCTGCCCACTCCTCTCTTAACTCCCCCCCTCCAGTGTCACCTGGGCAGGTAAAGAGCCCGATAAGTAGAAAAGTAACGTCACGCGTTCATCCCTCCGTCTGTTGGTCTGAAGTTTGATCAGTTCATTCATGAGAGCAAATTATTTTCTCAGTGGGCGGGGTCAAATCTTTCCTGATGGATGAGGTAACTCACACTGACACCCCCCCCCCCTTCTCTTCCTCCAGGTACGAGGAGACGCCACCCGAGGAGGAGGAGGCGGCGGCTAATGACGACTCATCAGAGTCAGAGAAGAAGGACCAATAACATCCACCGCTGCCTGCCCCACCCCCACCACCCACCGTCATCCAGCCTGCTGCCGCCACATTTCACTGAAGCTCTACCCCCCCGCATCCCCAGCTTCCTGTTCGTTGCCGGGGGGGGTGGAGCTCATGTCGCCAACGCGTTTTGTCTTTGAAAACCCATGGGAGCGTCCGCTGGTCTCCATGGTAACGGCTGCTGTCGTGCTAATGGTGGCGGTGTGTGTATTAAAAGGTTGTTACGGTAAAGCAGTAGAGACTCGGTGCCATGTTTCCTCCCATGTTTCCTCTCAGCTGCTCTCACACAGGACATCTGCCCCCCCNTGCTCGCTGTTATTTTGGGATTTGTGTTGCCATGGAAACAGCCCACAGGCCCATTGAATTAGCCGAATTCTTTTCAAAGCCTGTGATGCCCCCCCTTCAAAGAAAACTATCCGCTCAGCGGCGTCACGTCAGGTTCGTCGTCACCTCCGGGGGAGACGCTGTTGATCAGATAGTTTTTGGAACCACGGCGTCGTCCTGTGTGTTTGCAGTCTGTCGTCGCAGATAAACAGGAAACCGAGCGAGCGCTTGTTTTCTTCTTTTCAGGCTGTGAAAAGAGAATCACACGGTGAAACAAGCGCTTCTTTCTTCTTCTTTCTCTTCTTGTTTCTTGGTGTTTTTCGTCGGCTGCTCTTCACTCTGCCTTCTGCTTTCTCATCTCCGTGTTTTCTGTTTAGTTTTTCTCAGTTTTATTGTTTCGTGTTAAAGGCCAGAATTTTAAGATGAAGAAAAACTGTAAAGTTTGAATTGTGAACATCCTCATGTCTGAGTGTTGGTTTGAATCAGCTGCTTCACTGGGAAATAAACCTGTTGATGATCAGAGCTGCGCTGCTTCGGACTCGAACCGTGTCGTCTGCTGCAGCAGGTCACATGGTCTCGGTGACGGAGAGTCATGTGACTGTCGGTCAGAGGTGGGGTCCGTTTTATTCAGATGCATCTGTAGTGATTGATGAGACATCCTTCGTTGACATGAATGTGAAGAAAAGATGATAAAACTCTGTAGATCTTTTTATCCAGCTCCTTTTAAAAGACCATTCTGTTGCGTGATTTTTTTTTTTTTTTTATCGTCAGTTGTTCACACGTGTCTCAAATCATCAGCGTGTTCGTCTGTGAGAAGACAGAACTCTAAAGACCTGCCGACGTGTGAAAAACCAAAAAGCAACAACAAGCTGTTACGTTTCAGTCCAGCAGGTGGTGGCGTTGTTGTGGTCTTTGATTTAGTTAAAGATTCTCATTGTTCACTTCGCACCAGATCATAACACACATCGTTCGAGACTCTCCACGTACGTTCCCACAGTGACTGTGGACAGAATCCCTTCCTCATCCTCAGCATGAAAACACGACAACACCTGGACCTTGTCTTCGGTCCGTCTGTCATTTGTCTCCTGTGACTACAACAGTAAAAAAAATAAGGCAGCTGAAATGAAGCACCAGTGTACTCGACCATTCAGAAATGAAAAACAGAATTTCCCCATTTATTCTTTCTAGTTGAGGTTTTTAAAATATTTTTCAACTGTCCACTTGTAGAGTTTTCATGAGTCTCATGGATCCACGTGTCAATTTTCATTTCAAACATGGAGACGACTGAATGGAAACTTATTAAAGATTCATTTAAAAATGTTTGTGACTAAAATCAGACGTGAATGTTTCAGACTCAACATCTGTTTCCTCCAGATCGACTCCTTCGTTGGTTCACACACAAACATGAGCCGAGATTTTTCTGTCTTAAAGTTCAGGCCTGAGACAGGAGGAGGAGGAGTCAGACTTAAGCCCCTCCTTATTTCTGGAGGGGGAGGAGCCTCAGAATCGTACTGATCTGGGTCTGAACGAGCTCGTGTTCGTCAGATCTGATGTTTTCATGAGCAACATTAGAATTGTCTCATTTTCAGTTCATTTGAAAGATTCCGTTTCAAAGTTTCTTCACGGTGACGATCTTCAGTTTTTCTGTCTTCATATTGTTTCCCTTTCGTTTTGGTTTCTTCATCACACGGTCAGGACCAACATCGACCAAACGATTTGTCTTCAGATAATTGTCACTTTCAGAAATGAAGGAGAACTGATGTTTTCTACTTGTTTCAGAAAGATATTAAGTCTTACGTTTTCTCTCCTCTGCATTGAAGAGTGTGGTCTCTAAGTTTGAGAGCAGCACTTTCACTCAAACAGCCCCTGATGTGCTTAGATTTGCTTTGCTTGTGTTAAAACATGGGACAATTTAATTTGTCATCTCTGCACCTGTCATTCTGTTGGTTTAGGGACATTTGAGAGAGTTGATGCAGAAAAGAATCCAGGAGCAGAGGAGATCTGACTTTTAAAACCAAACAGCAGCATCATGTTTACCTGCAGGAGGGTTTTCACTCCTCGGATGTCCTGGGACTGATTCAAGATGTTGACCAGACGTCTTGTAGAAAAATGTCCAAAGTTAAAATGCAGCGCCAGCAATTTAGTGCAACACTGTAAAACTGGGTGAATCACAGAAGTCACATTCAAACACCAGTGATCAACACTGAAGGAGCAGAAGCAGAAATATCCAGTTTTCTGTCTGAGTTCAACTCCAGCACCAGAAACTACATTTCCCAGAATGCATCTTTATAGACAACACCAGCTTCTTGAAGATGATTTTTTTTTTTTTATGGAAATGTCAGAAATTCAAAATGAAAGTTTGAAATTCAAAAAGGGAAATTGGTGACTTGAAATCTGACATTTTCCTTAAAAAGGATTTCATCCCAGAAGTTAAACTGTTTTATCAGTTGATTCAACCATCACTGTTATTACGAGTCTTCTTCCGTGCGTCGTGTCACAGAAACCATCGGGAAACGTCCTGGAGACGAGCGTCATCACTTTGACATCTACCTACAGTTTTTTTTCAACAGTACAGATCTATAGTTTTTTTGTTACTTGACAAACGTCTGGATGTATTTAGCCTCATTAAGATTCTTCATGTAATTGATGTTGATGCTTTATTAAGAGTTTTGTATTTTCATGGAAAAAAAAGACAAAAAAACGAAACAACCATTCACATGTTCAGCTCAGTGACCTTCAGTATCTCTTCATGTTGAATATAATGTACCTTCAATGTTTCTTTCTTTCTCTCTGGTTGTATTTGTGCAGGAGGTCGTTTTATGGCCCCAACCATTTTATTTGCAATAAACTTTTTGGGTGTTTCGATCACCACATAGAAGCAGAACTCTGACCCCGTCTCATTCTTCGACTCCCACATCAAGTTTCCTATCGTCACCCTGAGCAGCACTTTGGAGATATTAGTGTGTTTTTGTTAACATACATGATTACTATTAAAATACAAAATAGTGACTTAGTGAATAGAGAAGGAGCACAACTATGTGTTGGATCAGATAATGTGCTTTGTTTGGGACTGTCCACATTTTATATTGTTCGTCTGACAGTCCAATGTTTATGGTTTTCAGATGGACTCTTAAATTTCATGTCTAAAATAAAATATTTGAGAATTACAGAGGAGCTGGAATTGATCCCTGAGGAACTCCACGTTTAAATAGAACCACAGTTTCTCTTTATGTCCACAATGAAGAGGAGCAACGACTGAGACAAACACAACCTGAAACACAAAGTAGCTGAAGATCAGCGTTAATATTTTTGTTTTCAAGATTTCAAAATGGAGTCTATTTGCTTGTGTTCGGAAAATAAACTTTCCTTCTGATTTCAATAATTTAATAAAACGATGTTCAAGAGAAAATAAGAATTTGTCCCAAAAATATTAAGAACATTTTTTTCAAAAATCCTCAAAATATTGACATAAAACTCAGATAATTTATCAGACATAAGTGTAATTGATTATTTGGTGGTGTTAGTGACCAGAGGCGCTGTGATCATTGTCACGTGGCTCTTTCCGCTTTTTATTTGTTGATTCTTTGTTTTTTACTCA